AGCATCATAGATGATGATATTGAAATTATTTCTGATGATGATGAGGATAATGCCTGAAATCGATTAGTAATATTACTATTTATTACCTGTTGAAATGACCAATATTGTAAAACGGGACGAATTAAATATGTTGTCGCAAAACAGGCATGGATTGCATAATGTATCATTTTGTTTCGTTTTGTCCTTGATAAAGTTGAATAAGTTGGATCGAATCCGCCTGCCCAATGATTGACAGTGACGGATTTGTCAATAAACATGCGACAGATATAAATTAAAGCTTGTTGTAATGTCCATTTTTCATGAGGAGCATAACAACCTGGTTGTTGATAAATACATATTGAAGATGAATTAATGTTTCTAATAGAACCGATATCATCAACAATAACATTGCGGTGAGAAGATGAGTTGCATACCTCGCAATAAGATACTGCCCACGCATACCAACCAGGAAATTTAAGCTGAATATTGATCACTGATGCTTTAATAGACCAATCGAACAATTGATAAATCATGAGCGGGCATATTTCCTTGCGTAGTGGTCCCCATGAGTATAATTTATTTCCATACCTAAAAACTAATTGAAAAACTTGTTTAATCTTTATATTGATCAATGAATCAGTAGATGGTAAATGTGCAAGTATCAATAAGATCACAAATGATGGTAATCGACAAGTTATTGTTTGAATTTGTATTTATGCCAATCATTTATATGATCGTTCGGATTCAGTATCAAGTGTATACTCGTTGCAATTTTGTACATGATTGATCAGCATTTGCATTGTCTCAATTGTAGTGTATTTATGTACATATCTTACTTCATAACTTGATTTTGGTGCGATGAATGGTGGATATTGTTGTTGTTGATTAAAATAAGATGGTGGATTGCTAATATCACATAAATGAAACGGAATACGTTTATCTGACATAGTAATGACTAAATAAAGGAAAAATTAGGCAAGGAAGGTGTGGGGGGAGGGGAGATGCGGGTGTGGATATGGGTTACATAAGATTATCTTTCACACCCACACCCACACTCACCCGCAGCCTTTTAAACAATTTGGTGATGAACTGACGAGTTCTCATCCCGCACTTACGAAGATAATAACTTCGATGAAAGAAAAAAATAATTTTTGAGCAAAGAAATTTTTATATACATGAAGACTTTTCCTTATCAGCATACTGATGCTTTAGTATCAAATGACAATATTAAATGCAGAAAACTTTTATTAACTCTATCGAAAGATACTTTTTTCTTATCTGTTTAATAAAATAAATTTACATTATTAGAACATGTTCTGTTGTTCTATAAACGTTAGACAAATTCTTACAAAACAATCGAGTTGAAAGAGGCAAAACTAGCAAGTAAAATTCATGAATTTTACATAGTTTCAAGTTAAAATTTCTTTTATCAATTATACCATTTGTTTTCTGTCATTTTTTTGAGAGGAGAAAAAGAAATAAAAGTTTTTGGAAAGATAAAAATTAATACTTTGCATTATACACTAGGATCCATGGTAACGGTATTATGCAACTAATAAAGAACGATATAAAAGAAATTTTTATGTAATATGCTTCTGATCAATGATGATCATCGATGATAGATTTAAAATGCGACATTTGATCTATATGAAAAAGAAGTCTAATTGATTTGAATAAATCTCTCGCATGGCAAATAACAACAACATCCTTACGACTTGGAAAATTGGACAATAATGACGTAATGCATTCTTCCAACATAACAGTATGAAAAAAAACGACTAACATTGGAATTCTCCATTTGTCAGAAGATTTTTCTTCGTCATTTTAACATACTTTGATTGGTGACTAGAGTAATAACGCAAATATTTTCATCAGACAACACACTTTAAATAGAGAAAAAAAAACATGACATAGAATCAAAACATTGCACATGTATTTTTCAGCGTCATAAACCCATAGAAAATTTCGAACGAAATTTCATAATGAAACCATTATTGTTTTTCTTTCTAGTCGTAAAAGAAGGAACAGACAAAATTCTTCTTTTTATTTCTCAAGTTGTTTTATTATCTTTAAGAATATCACATTGTTGATTTTTAAGAGATAGCAAAGTCATATAAAGCTATACAGAACTACCATCATAATTCATTCATCAAACATGGTTAATATTGTTGATCGTTTTTACATTTTATTTTAGATGACATCTATTCAACAATATGGTTTATCTTCTGATCGTATTTGTGACCCACATGGGCTCAATATTGATCATCTTGAATGTCTTATTTGTCGCGAAATACTCTGGAAACCAGTTGCTTGTCAATCATGTGAAACACCTTTCTGTTCCGTATGCATCCATCAATGGCTAGTCGGCAGTCCAGCACAGTGTCCAAATCGATGCAAAACATACGTTCAACGAAAATGTCCACCAATTCTTACTAAACTACTTGCTGAATTACAGATAGCTTGTTTCTATGAATCGAATGGTTGCAATCAAGTATTTTAGAGATCAATCACATTTTCAAGTCTACGCTTTTTTTTGTAGATCATTCCATATGAAGCTTTAGACAAACATGAAATCGAGTGTAGTTACCAATACCAACGATGTCCTGGTTGTCAAACAAATATGTTAAAAAAAGATCTTGATAATCATCAAAATAACTGCGCATCAATCGAAGTCACTTGTGAAAATTGCAAACTTGTATACAAAAGAGCTGATGCTATTTCCCAACATACAGAAATTATCTGTCTGAAAGAGCAACTTCGACAAGCTCGGACTGAATCTAAAGAGAATAAATATGAGATACACGAACTCAATGCTGAATTAAATGAAATTCGGTTATTGTGTAAGTGAATAACAAGATTTGATTTTCACTAAAAAAACTATGAGAATATAATAAATTTAGATCCATTGATAAAAAAAATGAAAATCACATTTGATGATTTACCAATTGCTGCTGATCGATCACAACTAATTTCAAATATGTACAGAGGACTCATATGGACTGATATTGCGTATGGAAACGAATTATTTTGGAAGATCAGACAACCTAAAAGTGGATATGTTACTTCCTTCAAACGTGGAGGTAGTCGACATATTGCATTTTTTAAGGATAATGCATCGATTAGCGCTGGAAGTCGTAATCACAAGTTTACTTTTGTTTCTGTTACTGCATGTGCTGCTTGGAATGATGATCTACAATTAACAATTATGGGATATCGAAATCCTACAAGGACTAACATACATACAACAAATCTTGTCTATGGAAAACCACAACTTATTCTCCTTCATTGGAAAGACGTAGACAAGGTCATCTTTACATCATCTGGCGGTACACCTCATCCTGGTAATGGTGGAGCAACAGGGAGTCATGTTGTGTTAACTCAGCTTACAATATATTAAGTTGATGGGAAGAAATATTGTACAACTTAGTAGAATATAAATCTAAAAGACTCTATATGTCAACGATTGACCAAAACTAAAAAAGGATCCATTATAATTCACCATGTACAATAGATATAAGTTAATCATCAAACACAGAATAGTCATTCGACTCTAATGGTAATCTTTTTTTTTACTTCGGAAAGAAGTATAAGCATTTAGTGGATTTGAAATTTTTTTTAATGTAAATAGTTCAAGTTTTAAATTTACAATAAAACAATTGGTTATTGACTCAGTATGCAGTGTGGCTGTCAGAGAAGAAAAGAATCACATCGACACACTTACACTCTACACTTTGCATACGTGTATATTGATCGTGATTCACTTAAATCTTCGTAATGACGAAGACAATTTTTTTCCTGATTTTATATAGATCCTCTCTCTCTATATATATATACAGTTGCATAACTTCGGCAACAAACGTAAATGACGAGAGTGTGGGTGAAATAATACTTACACTCACATCCAAATCAGAACAAAATCAGGATTTCTGATCGAAAGCAGGAAAATCAGGACTTATAAAAAGGTCAGGAGAGTAGTATTGCTGCAAGCCCTGTAAAAGTGACGGAAAAAGTAACTGGTAAAATATCTTTATTGTGCTCCATTGCGTATCTTCGCGAATTAACTTTAAAATAAGACTTGTTTTTATTGTGGAAGAAAAAACAGAAAATGAATATTTCTTTCTTTGCTTATAAAAGAATAGAAAATGTATAAATAACAACTCCTGCGTCTAATTGTATTAGAACAAAAAAGATGTTGCACGCTACAGCATATGTACGGTTTCTTTCTCGTCCTCAAAGAATTGTTTAAAGAGAAGAACGACACGAAGCTTTTCGAAATATGTTCTATTTTACTGCATTAAAAAAAGCTTACAATAAGAATAACAAAACGAGAAAGAAAAAAACTGAAAAAATATATAAGAATAACAAAAGAACGCAATTTATTACATAGAGAAAAGAAAGATTATGGGTTGTGGGTGACGTGAGTGTGGATGTGCGTATCGACGTAGGAGATTAGACTATACACACTCGCACTCACATCCAGAAATTATGTTACTGAAAAAAATCTATAGTCCTAAACAATCATTGAAAAGTATTTGTCTTACTGGATGTTTACATTTAGCAGCTGAAACATTTCCTGAATTGGATGCACAAATAAATTATTTTCATATTCTTAAAATATGTTTATTTTATCAAAATATATTCAATAGAGTCCTTCTAATCCATTGTTAACACAAGACGATACAGCAACTGCATTAATTAAAACTGATATATCAATTTATGCATAGCAATATGAAAATGAAGACGAAAACTTATGATGTATAGATCAGATAAATAAAGAAAAAGAACTTTTTCTTACAAATTCATGAGTTTACGCTTAGTTATAAAAACAATTTAATATAAGCGAGATTTATCATTCTATCTGCTTATTGTAATTTTTTTTTGATGCCTCATGATAGATATAATCGATCTTCTAGACAACCTACTTTGATGATGGTTGTATTTTAGCAGGATTTATGCATGAAAAATATTCACATTTAACACGCATGATATATGTTTATAGTGAAGAAACAACAGATTTTATCACACAATTGCGTAAGTTACTCAAAAATAAAAAATTATAAGTTTCTGTCGTTATTATTAATGTCAATACAATTAACGAGGGGATTCTAAGAGTGGGTGTGGATGTGCGTGTGAATGTGGATGTGGCTATGCGTGTGGATGTGCGAATCAGTTTTCTATACACTCACACCCTGTTAATTCTTCTTTTGTCATAGAAAAATATGCCAACCTTTCTTTGAATCCGTAGTTCTTTTCATGAAATTCTTGGATTCTATAAATATGTCTATTAGATTTCATGTTTTTTTAAGGTGTTCAGCAGGGTGTGGGTGTCGGCATCGGTGTTGTCATGCAGACAATGAACCACTACACCCACACCCTCATGATAAAAAAAGGAAAGTATCTTTTTTTGTTTATCTGTGTATTTATTTTTTCGTTAGTAGCACAAGTTGTTGGATGATGTAAATGAATAACAAAAGAAAAAGAAAGAGGGTGTGGGTGTGAATGAAGAGAAGAACAAGACCCACACCCACACCCACAACAAGAAAGGAGATAAAACTAGTTCACTACATAATTAAAGTGTCAGAACAAGTTACAGATTTATTTTTATTGACAACCAAAAAAAAAGAGACGACCGTTCCTGGGTAGAAAATAAAATAAAACGCATAGAGACAAGATACAGGAACAGTATGTATGAATGTGGGTATCGGTGTAGGTATGGATACCCTCACCCATATATACACACCCAAAGCAAAATCCATATGTGACGAAATGAAATGATGATTTCAAATGTTAAGAGCTTCTCATGTAAGACGTAAATTACAGGACAAGAGCAGTATGTATTTTTTTAATATTAACCTCTTTGATATCTGTTTTCTTTCGCGTTCTGAATAATAGTGTGAAAAAATTGATTAAGTGCTCTTGTATCCTTTCGTTATCGATCATCAAACGC